CTTTCTTTATAAGAATAAGCATTTTAACTATATATTTTGCACCCTCCAATAATTATATAAACTCAAAATTTAAGAAAAAAAGTATTTTATATTTCTCTGCTAAAGTTATGTATGCTCCAATTTTATTTTGCTCATCTTCAAAATAAAGATCAATTCAGCCCATGTAAGAATATTTTGTTTTGTTTTTTTTTTTTTTTTTTTTTTTTTTTTTTTTTTTTTTTTTTGATAAAGCCCCACGGACGAGGCCTACACGTTAATGAAAAGAAAAAAGAATAAGTCCAGAATGACTCAAAGCTCGCTAAAATACAACAAAAGAAAGATAAAAACCTAAGAGCCTCGAAATTCACCTAAAAACAAAAATCAAGACAGTACAAAAAGAAGATCAGCCTAAGCACAAGCAAATAAAAAAGGAGTCAGATGAAGTCACCAATTGCCCAGCAGACAAACGTCTACAACCAAATCTACAATAACATTCAAAGCCGTAGCCCAAAGATCCAAAAACTAGCACCACCAACAGCAACCCCACAGCTCCAAAGCAGCAGCCACCAAGCCAACCCCAAAAAACATCTATTTTTTGGATTTCCTCTTTCTTCTTTTGCACATCGGAACAAAAGTATTACCACGACTTTCATTCGGATCAACAAAGTCATCATATTCAAACACTTCCTTTTCTCCATCCTCAGAAAGAGAAGATAGAGAGCCTTCAAGCAATCAATTTGCTCCAAAATATTTTCCCTCGAACTCACGCCCACATGAGCATACAAAACGTTAGCAGAGAGTAAAGCAACTGGAACATCAACAAGCTGTTCATTCACGCCCAGCTTCATAGAGGAGACCGACACAATTAGATCAGCAGGCGTCACAGTCACAGGAGAAACAACAGAAGGATCCAACTCATTAGAATCAATATTCACCACCCTCAAATTAACATCACAAAGTGCTTTATCATCCACATTTAGTGGCTCATTACCAGCAACAAGACCAACAATGTCAGGACTAGCAATCTTAATCTCACCCCGAGGGGAAGCCACCAAGACATGGTCATCCACATCACCATCATCACAACACAGAACAACCCCACAATTCTTTGATGGAGGAGCATCAGAAACATGGATCACCAAATCATTCTCAACCGCCCTCCACAAGGGAGTAACCGACTCAAGCAGAGGCAACACAATAACATGAAAGGTACTATTAGACTGATCATTTTCCTTCTCATTGTGTCAACAAAAACCCCATTTTTAACAATACCAAGACCATTAGCTAAATTATCCATGGTTTCCAAACCACCAACAATGTTCTCATCATAGCTAACTTGATGAGGTTCAATAGATACCAGTTTTTACATGCCAACTTGAGGATTGAAAATAAAACATTCCTTTTTATCATGACCCAAAGTTTTACAATGATCACAGAAAAAAGGCAAATCTTCCATAACAACAGATTGAACATACCCCAAGTTATCCAAACAAATCAAAACTCAATCGGTATAGCTTTTTTAGACTTCTAATTCAACTAAAACCCGCGCAACTGAGGGGCGAGTGTCCACAACAGTTGCATTGTCAATGCGCAGAGGTCGACCAAAAATCGAACCCAAACCATTTAAAATCTGAGGCGAGAATAGGTGGCGTCGCAAATTAGGAAATGAGATCCAAATATGTATAATAGGAGATTCAACGGATAGATCCGAGTAAGGAGACCACTTAACCAAAGCTAAATTTAAAATTATATTTAGGTTTATTTGGGATAACTTTTTTCATGTTTTACTTTTTGAGAAATTATTTTGTGCGTAGGCCGAACGCAAAACGTAGTCCGGAGACCAATCAGAATGTGTCAGCGATACCGAGCCACGGTATCGAGCAGTACCGAGCCGTGATACCAAGCGAAGGATGATGTGGTGCATTCTGATCGGTCTCCGGATGGTATTCGGCATCCGCATAGAATAATTAATTAATCTTACTTTTCATAGCACAGTCTAAATTTTTATTTGGCTATTATTTTTTCACCGCTTTAAAAAAAATTTATGCTAAAAAGTTACTCTTGCATCAGCCTTTTCAAAAAAATTTAATCGCCTTTAAAAAAAAAAAAAACAGCTACTCTCATAAAAAATTTATAATTCAAATAAAATTTTTTGTCCGTCCCCTCCAAAAAAAAAAAAATGAATGCATTAGTATTGCAGGAATGATGGATTTTATAATTATTGTGAAAATGACTTATTTAATGGATTTTATAAATTCCCCAAAAAATGGATTTTATAGAAAAGACTTATGCACTAATATCCAAAACTCCCTTTCTAAAATCTGTATCGTTAACATCCATCTATGTAAAAATTAACTGCTTCAGCGTTAGTGGCATTTTTTTTTTCATTTTTTTTTCTAAAAGAATTGAAGAA